TGTAAATATCCTGTCAAAAGGATCTACGCCATTGTTTTAGAATGTCTTGCTTGAAGATCAACACTCACTCAGACAGCAGACTCTCTGGATATCTTATGCTTTTTTTTTTACATTTCTTAAAAAATTCCTACAGAAAGATTTGAAAATGTTGTTTGAAAATATTGAATTTATTTGCCAAATACTCTGAATCTGATTATATACATCCCATGTAAAAAAAAGACAAATAAATGAAAACTATTGTAGAAAATTTCATGTTTAGATAGACCTTTTGGCTTCCTGCAGACTATCAGAAATGTCTCAATAAGACTGCGATAGCACTGCCTGTAAATATCATTGCAGAAAACTCCCAATACTATAACAAACATATGAAATCGTCTTGCTGTTCTGAAATGTTTTGTCAGCAAAACAATACTAATAGTATTTCTGTCTGATAACATCTTCAGCTGTAAGCTCAGTCTGAGGTTGAGCATGAACAAATGTTGCTAAAAATTCCTTTACTGAACCAGTTGCAATAAACAGTTAGAACCAGAAGTTGCTAAGAATTGGATGAAACCAAGATTTATTTTTTTGTATAGTACATATCCATATATAACCGAAGTAGTTTTCTGCTTGTGTGGTAATTTACGTAGATATATACATATCAAAAAAAAAATTCCCAGCTACCTAAAACATTCTTGAAATTGACAGGAGTTGTATGGGCATTTTTTCATCAACCTGAGAAAATATGACCCACATTAATTGAAATCACCCACATGCAAATCCCAGTTAAATTCACAGTAAGTAGGATCATGTGTGTGATAACTTTTGGTGTCTATGATTGGATTTGAAGGACCTACCTACGTACTATCATTAAAAGGCCATTTCTCTTGCCTGTAAAATTAGGCCAGTTTGCATGGCCTATGAAAACAGCAAGCTAATATGAAGGAGTTTCCACATTGATTATGAAACACAAAAAGGTCAAAGAAGTGAATCATAGGTGATATTGGAATAATTTTTGTGATTTTTGGTGTTTGATCTCGTCAGGGTGTTAAATGTTAGGCGTGCCATATCTGAATCACTGACCACATGACCACAGCAAGATCCGAGATTGGACTTGGATGTTTTTACATGTTTAGATATCTCAATTTTACAGGTGAATCATTTTCCCTCTAATTTTCCTTAAATATTAACCCACTAGAAGCTCATCAGAAGGTTGATTGTTCATTGTTCAAGTTGCCCTGCATTTGTTTTCCATCGTTGGTCCATCAGTGCTTCCATTCATTGGTCATCAATCCTTTAAACAATTATTGTTTTTGCTACAGGCGACTGCTGTGGATTTTTACAATTGAAGTTTATCCCTATTTCTGGGAAAATATTTTATTGTTATTTCTAAAATTTAATGTACAGCTGGTAATACCTTTATTCCTCAGTTGTACTCCTTGGATTTTGGGACTGATGAGAAAGGTGAAAATAGGAGATAAATTGGCCATCTTGGTTTTGACAAATATTATTATTGCTATTTCTGTAGGGGAGTTTGCAAATTTGATATAAGAGCAAAAACAGAGGAAAGAAGAGAAGGAAAAAATATCAAACTTTTAAAGAACAAACAATGGTAGGGGCCAACCAAGATCCTTTACCTCTGAGATCTCTTGTCCTGTTTTTGTTTGGTTGGATGTGGGAGAATTTGATGCGGCCATTGTATAACAGTCCAAAACCTTGACACATCAATTACCAAAATTTCCAACATTAAATATTGTCTGTCCAGTCAACAATCAAATTAATAAAGGCATGCTGGGAACTTTCTTTATGGAGTAATAAACATGTCAGAATCAAGTAACGTGTATATTAAAAAGTGGTGTGTGCTTTATTACATTAGATTTTAATTTTTATTGTAAATTCAAACCAAGCAATGTATCTGATTTCTGATTTTCATGTTAATCTTCTTATTCATATGGATGTTGAAAACAGACTCAAAATTCTATCAAAGAACAGAATGTGAATTACTCTATGAGCAAAATATTTTCCTCAAAAATACTTACCACCATAGAATATTGAAGTTGGTAGATAAATTGAGAGTAAATGACAAGGAGTAGATTCTGAATGGTGATAAGTTAGCACGGCCTAATGCACTTATCAAACAACTCTGATAAATATTCGACTAATCAGATTTATTTTCGCTTTAGCACCAGTTGAGAAAGTTGATATAGTGCTATAGGTTTACATAGGTTAGGAGTGTTACAATACAGTATAGAAACGCCTACTTTGAGATAGGGTTCAGAGATCTAGAACCTGTCACAACATTTGTACTGATAGCCACTCCCTTTTATATATGACTAAGTCCAACAATTCCTCACAGAGGTATTTATTTCTCAAATTTGATTCGAGTTGATGTTACATTGTATTAAATCTGTGTAAATAAAAACATACTGAAGTTTTGGAAATGGAATATTTTACCTGAAATCAGTCAGAAAGCATGTATATCACTTTCTTTTATATTTGCTGCAATAGTTTCTTTCACGTTTATGTTCCTGTTAAAGGATCACAGAGAAATCATGAAGAGATTATTCATTTTCCTGGAGGATTTATTTTTGGTGATTGGAGGATATTTATAATCCATAACTTCATAGCTGTAAGCACTTGTGTATAATATGCAGGTAGACTCTGGGGGGAAAATTTTTTTTAAAAATGTGAATATTTTGCCACCTAAACAATTGGCAGTTGTCAAGTGATGTTGTTTTTACAATACGTGATCAGAAAAAAATTATTACAAGATAGGTACTTATTAACTTTTCATACCTTGACTGCATTCTGTTATGGCTGTCGGAGCAGATGATGAAAGACTCTTTGGTTATCATTGGAAAATCATGGCCGTGTACAAGTCAGAATAACCCCTGGTGCTTGCTTCCTTTAATTTCCCTGGACTTGAGATGAAACTCAAGCAGATGAAATTTGGAAAGATATAGGCCCATTAATTCTTTGTATTTTATGTCTCTCTGATGGCATCGTACACAAATTTTGTTCAGTATGGGAAGACTGAGCATGAACTTAAAAGAAATGACTTGTTCATGTGTGTACTGTTCACACTTTTAAAAATTGATTCCCTCAAAAAAAAAAGATATGTGCATTATACGTGTATGTCCATAGGGGGTGTCTGCAGACTGTTTTCATAATTGCAAGAACTATTTGGACTATATTTACCGAGGAAATAAAATCTTAACAAAATAGTGATTTTTTGATAAACTATGAAAATTTGATTTCACAGCAATGCTATCTTTTGACAAAAATATTCAACATATATATTAGCATCTAGCTTTTGTATAAGTCATTATACTAATCTGTATGAAGCTGTATAAAAGTTAAAACACTTTGATTACATCAAGTCACATAAAGTGGACACGTGATATCAGTACTTAGGGCTAAGATCGTAATATCAAAGCCAGTATCATATTAACAACCTGTGAATGATGTTAATGAGTAATCTTGTTTCTGATATGCCTGATATGGATATTTAACATAAAATTGAACAACTGAGATAATGGATTATATTATAAATAGGTGCTGTTTGGTTGTGACGTACTATAATGTACAGCTGTAGGATAGGTATGCATCAATTTCCTGTGGCTAGGTAATTGAATTAATTGTAGGAGTTATAGAAAGTAGGCACTTGTATGAGAAGTGGTATAGCTTATTACTAGTGTTTCTGTGCACTGTTAAACAGCTTTTCTGACAGCCTTACTGACTAACCTACAGCTTAGTGTTAATACCACAGCACTCCTGGCTTTCCTGAAGGATCAGCTTGTTATAAACATTAATATCATCTCATAGATTAGCTTTGCCTTATTGAGTTATCTGTGATGTAGAAGACACTGAATATATAAGTGTACTGGTGTGTAGAATCTGTGATGTTTTGTGATTCTTGGATGGCTTTTGTAAACAGACATTTGATTGTGATTTAGCTGACTTGCATATACTGTAATGTAGAATCAGATCTGTGATTTGTAGAGATTTTTATCAAGTAGTTTTGATTATGTGATATTGACAACTGCCAGGTTATTTTTTTCCACTTGTATGTGAATGCACTTGTCACTACCATGATGCTCTATAGTACAAGGCTGTTGAATTTTGTTGAATGAATATTTATGGAGTGTTGAAACAGGTCATGAACATTAATTGAGCCATGTAAATGCACAAGGTGCAGAGACTGTAAAAAATTGCTATATGCTACATGACAATTTTATAAATTGACAGCTTAAGGTAATACGATCCCCATTGAGTAAATTTTCATCAGTCACAAGTGATTTATATGTGTTAGTACTTTAGACCTACTCATGTGGAGATGTTTGATGTTGAAACAACTTCTTCTAAAGAAGTGAAAGTCCTAGTGCCATGATAACTTCTCCTAAATGTGTCTGAAATGAATGTCAAGTAAAGAATTTACTGGGTTGATGGTGGAGTTGCCTTGTAAAATGGTGATTTTCATTTTCATCAGTTATTTCATGAAACACTAGCCATTGCAAGGGATTGGTTAGGTATGTAAGATAAGTCTATATGAATTGGAATCTAACAGTTCTGAAAATGGATATTTTGACATGCAGGCATGAACTAGCAAAAATCCTTGGTGACCAGTTAGTGAGATGCTTACACTGATTTCACCAGCATGTGAAATTTATATACATCATCATCTGCATATAAAAAAACCTGAATAGTTTCAGTTCTTGGTTGAAGAAAACAAAATTACATCACTATTTCAACTTAAACATGCGTTTGTAAGCATATTACATTTCCTATAAATATTTCTGATGGTGCAGTAGGCAGCATGATTATAATTCTCCTTTCATAAAGAGGTCAGAGAAAGCGTAAAATAGATATTATAATCATATGAATATTTACCTGTTATTATCATCATCATGACAACTTTTAGTGTCTGAACTCTTTTGTATGCAATTTAATTCACACCATCAAAGAATATTATTGTGATGATGTAGATTAATAATATTTTTAAAATTTTTTTTCGTCTTTAGCTCTGAAAGAAACCAATGGAAGAAACATCATAAACGGAGGCATGCGACTCAGTACTCCAGGTGAATACAGGAGCTCAGGTACAACCTTTACCTACAGTGCCTATCAAAGTCGAGGTTGTCCAGGCCAGTGTATCAGTGCCCCAGGTCCAACAGACCAGTCAGTTGATGTACAGGTAATTTTGTAATATGATACAGCATGAATATACTCACAATTAAATGATTAAAAAACAAAGGACTTTGTGAAGATCAAGGTCACATATCAGCAATTGACATGAAAGAATGACTTGAGAATAAATCTTTGTTGGAAGTGTAAGATCAGCATTGTAATGACATAAAATCAGTGTAAAAAATCTTTGTATCAATGTCCAATTAGCACATGAGTATGGTTTAGTAAATTAAGGTTTCAGAAGGGGCCAACCTTTTAAGGATCATTAATAGAACTCTCTTGAAATCAATAAACAATTGAAAGTTGCTTCTTTTTGTTTCTGCTTTATTGTAAATACTTGCATGACAATGTTTTATTGATATTGCGTAGACGAGGAAAATCCTGCACTTTAGAATTAATGGTTTCATATCACTGACTATTATTTTGGGTGGTCTATAATTAATCATTGTTGTACAGGTAGAATCATACTGATGTCTAATGTAGCTGTATAAAGGTTCATCACAGGTACTTCAGGACTGCATTAGGCCCATTCAAATCATTCACACATGATACAAGACTTTCAATGATTACAAGTTTAACGGAAACCAAGACAATGTCCTCATTTAGTAGACAAATGTCCTCACAGATGTCCCTACAGATACAGTGCTCTACCCTTAAGGATGACCAGGGTGGGTGTAATGAGGTCACTGGTCAAGCTTGTTTATTGTCACCATGACTACAAATTATGACCATTCTAGGATGTCCAAAGGGATGCTTAATCATAAAGGAATTTGGACACACTTTCAAGGTCAATTCAAGGTTATATATTAGTTAATGATTTTTGTGTTAACAAGCTTGAAATAAGATATTATGTGATGTTGGATTCCAGAAAGAAAATTAAAAAAAAAAAACAAAGACAAAATTGTTTTTTTTTTTTAGTTGAAATGATTATAAAGCCTCCCTTTTATAGTGGAGATTCTGTAATTTCAGCATTATTCATAAATCTTGCTGCAATATTGTAATAAGCTTATAGTACATATTAAGTAGTAAAGGTAATCTGTTCTCTATTTTGTTACATAAAGCATATGTATAAAGGTTCTGTGTCCCTTTTAGAAAAATGTTTCATGTATTTTGTATAACATTTTCTTCATGATTCATATAGTTTTAAGGCTGCTTTTGAAGTAAGTAAAATGACAAAATCATTTAGGGATTGCTTTTCTTTAACGTTTATATAGAACAATTATTATCCTGAAAATGTTTTTTGTGATGAAGAGTGTTAATTTTTTTCAGTTCTTGGTAGTTCGGTTCTGAGTGTTTCAAATAGAAGTTGTTGTACTGGCTGTGATTGAACTGCAAAAGAGATTATAGAATTTGTGTCAAATCCTGGTGGCTATTACAATTTTGGAAATGTTGTAGAATTTATTCAACTTTGTCTAAAGTGTTTGTAACTTGAGAAGGATGTTGTTCTTGAGATGCCACTTATTTTCACTTGACCATTCAACCTTTTGTTGGTACAGCATCTGCAAAAACTATTACAGACGTGTCAATAAGCTCAAGCTGTAGATTGTATCTTGGCAATGTATTAGATGTACTAGGTCCCCGATACAAGTTGACAGCCCTTGTGTGGCCAGACAGATACATTTTTGACTTGCCTTGATTACTATCAAAGAATTCAGGCTAACAAAATAAATTATCTACTTTTATTACATTTTGCTTGTAAAATAGAGGAATTTCATCGATTTTAGAAATTTATATCATCACTAGTAATTACATTTATTCAGTGATATAACTTTTGTAGTTTTGATCTGTCAGGGCAATGTTTTTCACTGTATTGAAATTTGCATATTTTTTCCATCTAGACACAAATGAAGTTCGGGTTGAAAAGTTAGTTTTCCATCCAATCTTTACTGTGTATATTTCATGGTTTCTCCAATTTGGTATATATAACAGTTTTGTTATCAATTCATACCTGATAACAGTATGAAATGTTACAACAACCAACATTCAAAATGGCATTATATTATTGTCAAGCATAACATCAAACTATCACAGAATAACTTCAGACTATCACAGCATAACTTCAAACTATCACAGCAGAACTTCAGACTATCACAGCATAACTTCAGACTATCACAGCATAACTTCAAACTATCACAGCAGAACTTCAGACTATCACATCATAACTTCAAACTATCACAGCATAACTTCAAATTATCACAGCATAACTACAGACTATCACATCATAACTTCAGACTATCAAACATCAAAGATTGCACTTGTACATATAGCCTAAACAATTTTAAATGCTAGTTTTTTTTTGTTTTTTTGTTTTTTGAACTTCAAACTATCAAACATCTTTGATAAGCCTAAACAATTTTAAATGCTAGTTTTTTTTTGTTTTTTTTTTTGCTTTGATAAGCTTTTTTCTATCTGTGTTTTTCATTTAAAATGTAATGAAAATGAAATTGATTAATTTATAATCTTTCACTTATGTGGTAGAAATAATTATATTTGTCACTCGTGTGAAATATAGATATTCTGTAATACTCATGAAATACATATGATATTAAATGGGAAGCAATTAAATACTTATTTTTACTCATTAGCAACTGAATGCCAGTAGATGCAGGCATGTGTTTATCTTATTACATATTTTTGTTCATGTTGTTTATTGAATGTCTTAACAAAAGTGCTTTTCTCAGCTCTGGCACTTTATGGTAAACTTTTTGAAAATGAGACGAACGAAAAATCACTGAAAACAAATATCTTACAGTCTAAATCATACAAATCTATTCAAATGGAATATTCTGTCTTCAAATATGTTGTTCTTGGTCTTAGTCAAAACTCCTTAACTTTTGATAATATTGTGAACTGATATGTCGCAAGATATCCTGTTTATGATATTACATTGCGGTCTGCATGAATTGAAAACTTAAAATTGAAATTAAGAAATTGTATGTTTTTCACATGATATTGTACTTATCATAGCTTAATATGCCACTTAAATGATAAGAAATGTGATCAGCATGAAGTCCCTATATGATATTGCTGGTTATGTTCCTTCCATTGATATACCACACATACCTTCCAATTAGTCCAACCGGAATCATGATGATACTAAAACACAAGATATTTGCACTATCAATGAATTCATTCATCATTGTTTGAATAGGTTGGCTGTATAATGATGGCCATTACACTGTGGTGAGCTATTGAAATTGACCTACATGCATGGTTGATTGTCCATCTGGGAAGAATTTTTCCAAAGGCTATTTCTTGAGAAATAGTGAAGGGATCTTTCTTAAATTTTATTTGTGGGTTCCCCTTGGTCCTCAGTAGTGACTTTTGTTTTGGGACTGATCAGAAAAACAAAATGGCTAACTAGTAGCCATTTTTGATTTTGACTATGAAAGTTTGTTATCACTATGGTTTGGAAATGCTGGATGGTCTTTCTAAAACTTCATATATAGGTTCCTGTTGATCCCTAGTTTTACCCATTTGACTTTGGGACTGATTAGATAAACAAAATGGCCGGCATGGTCGCCATCTTGGATTTCAGCTATGAAAGTTTATTATCACTATGCGTTGAGGATAGATTTTGCGCCTTTTGTAGGTAACCTTTGGTCCGTGTTTGTACACTTTTGATTTTGGGATTGATTAGAAAAAGAAAAAATGGCTGACAGGGTACCATCTTGGATTTGACAGTTAAAAATTATTAATACTAATTCTTCAGTGAAAATTTGAAGTTTCATATGATTAAGAGCAGAAATAGAAGAAAGAGAGAAAAAATGGCCCCACTTCTAAAGAACAAATAAAGATCAAATGATGGTGGGTGGCAAGACCCCTCTGGGATCCCTTGTTTAGTGTTTTCTAATGGAGTTGTATAGGATGTGGTAGCTGGCTGTCTAAGCTGGTAAAGTACCATGAAGTTAACCATTATACTTAAATCTTGTACAATCAAAACATCAAAAGCAGGAAGTTAACGTTTTTGTGGTGTTGAGAGCCCCGCCCTGTTCACTCCTTTTCTATAATTTTTACATGAGATAAACTCTATATTTTTGGTGGGAAAAGGGTGTTGCTGATTGTGAGTTAAATCTACTGTCCCAGTGTATGTATTTGGCTTACTACGTACTATAAACCAACAAATGATTAAAAGAATACAGTTTCATGGTTTTAGGACATCTATTTGTTATTTTGAAGAAATGTTATTCATGATGCATGTAGTTCAGGTGAGTGTAAGTCCTGTGTCCTGTAATGGTGAGAACTACTTACCTGTAGACAGAATAGTGAAAAGTAAACACAATTAGCTGATCCACAGCTGTGTTCAACTTGTCATTGTCGGCCATTAGACTTAAACTTTCACATCTCTACTTCTATAACACACCTGAACCACTCACACAGCTGTGGTACACATGTCATTGTCTACCATTAGACTATTTCGTCATCTCTGTCTCTATAACACATCTGAACCACTTGACCAACAATGAACAAAATGAAAATTATTAATCACTGACCACCAATGACAATAACTATAAATGATTGACCACCAGTGACAATAAGTATAAATGATTGACCACCAGTGACCATAGTTATTGATGATGGACCACCAGAGACAATAAGTATAAATGATTGACCACCAGTGACCATAGTTATCAATGATTGACCACCAGTGACCATAGTTATTGATGATTGACCACCTGTGACCATAGTTATTGATGATTGACCATCTGTGACCATAGTTATTAATGATTGACCACCAATGACAATAAGTATTAATGATTGACCACCAGTGACCATAGTTATTGATGATTGACCACCTGTGACCATAGTTATTAATGATTGACCACCAATGACAATAAGTATAAATGATTGACCACCAGTGACCATAGTTATTGATGATTGACCACCTGTGACCATAGTTATTAATGACTGACCACCAATGACAATAAGTATAAATGATTGACCACCAGTGACCATAGTTATTGGTGATTGACCACCAGGACCATCCTTATTAATGATTGACCACCAATGACCGTTGTTATTGATGATTGACCACCAATGACCATCGTAATTAATGATTGACCACCAATGACCATCGTTATTAATGATTGACCACCAATGACCATCGTTATTAATGATTGACCACCAATGACCATCGTTATTAATGATTGACCACCAATGACCATCGTTATTAATGATTGACCACCAATGACCATCGTTATTAATGATTGACCACCAATGACCATCGTTATTAATGACTGACCACCAATGACCATCGTTATTAATAATTGACCACCAATGACCATCGTTATTAATGATTGACTACCAATGACCATCGTTATTAATAATTGACCACCAATGACCATAGTTATTAATGATTGACCACCAATGACCATCGTTATTAATGATTGACCACCAATGACCATCGTTATTAATGATTGACAGCCAATGACCATCATATTTAATGATTGACCACCAAAGACTATAGTTATTAATGGTTTACCATTTGTGACCTGTCAAAAGTTATTAAAGGTTGACCACCAATGACCAGATGAAAGTTGATATTGATTGACCACTAATGACCAGACAGGAAGTCCTGAATGACTAACTGCCATTGACCACATAGTTAGTTACATATATATGGTGGACCACTGATTATTACATCATTAATGTATCTACCCACACCTTCGGTCTATAATAATTCCACTTTCTCCTCTGATTTATACCCACTGTTACTAGATTTTGGTTGATTGCCAAGGAGATGATAAAAATGGAAGTGGGTTGTGAAGATAGACACCAGTCTTGTTGAATGTCCCTACAATTTAACGATCACATTTCTGTGTTGTATTCATGATATAAATATCAAATTCCAAAAAACTTTTTTTACCTTTTTAATAAGAGCTGATGGAAAATATGGTCCAATTCATTTGATATGTTGCAGACCTTACAATTTGTACCATTACTTATATTGGTAGACATGGAGATCTGAAAGTTTGTACCGATACTAAGGTGACTGAATTTTTTACTCGTCAAAACTTTAGTTTGAAACAAATTATATAGGTTAAAGCTTGAGTCTTAAGTTGAAGGGAAATAACCCCATGTGTGAATCTTGTGAAAAAAATTACCTTCTGATGTTGCAAGAACTTTCAATTTCATTATCTTGCACTGCAGGTGCTTGGTGGAGATAAAAATAGACAGAAAATGTACACCTATCTTGCCATCATTAACACTTAAAATAAACAACATATATCATTAACTCTAGAAATAAAAACCAGATATTGTTGTGGAACATTCTCTCATCCCTGTCAAACTTACTTGTAAAAAATTACAAAGATTGAGTATTTGTAACATGCTCTGAAGCTGCTGATTTCACACTTTAGGAACAAAAGAAAATTTCTTAAAGACTTACTTGTAGAATAATGATGACTTAGCTATAGTATGTTATATAGAACATTGTTAAACACTTTGTAACAATAAAGTGTAAAATAAAAACATTTATTTTCTACAATCATCTAAGTTAAACAGTTACTCAACAGTTCCGTTTAGTTATAGCATACACTATTTAGTAAAAGATAATATTGGACTAATGCAGTACCTATGGCATAATGATGGTTAAACAGATTTGTATCAGTAACAGACTGTAAAGACTATATATGTTTTTTATAAGGTGTGTCAGAAGTAACAGGTTTTCTTTAAGATAAGTATGTCTGAACTTGCAGACAGGTGGTCTGTAAGACAGGTGTGTCTGAAGTAAGAGTCAGGTGGTCTGTAAGACAGGTGTGTCTGAAGTTATAGTCAGGTGGTCTTTAAGGCAGATGTGTCTAAAGTTACAGTAAGGTGGTCTGTAAGACAAGTGTGTCTGAAGTTACATTCACGTGGTCTGTAAGGCAGGTGTGTTTGAAGAAACAGACAGTTGATCTCAAGGGAGATGTGTCTGAAGTTAAAGACAGGTGTGTCTGAAGTTAAAGACAGGTGTGTCTGAAGTAATAGACAGTTGGTCTCAAGGAAAATGTGTCTGAAGTTAAAAAACAGATGGTCTGTAAGGCAAGTGTGTCTGAAGTAACAAACAGATGGTCTCTGAGATAGGCATTTCTGAAGTTACAAGCAATCTAATGTAAGGAAGTTACAGATTGGTGGTCTCTAAGGCAGGACTGTCTATTTAACAGACAGGTGGTCTCTAAGGCAGGACTGTCTATTTAACAGACAGGTGGTCTCTAAGGCAGGACTGTCTATTTAACAGACAGGTGGTCTCTAAGGCAGGACTGTCTATTTAACAGACAGGTGGTCTCTAAGGCAGGACTGTCTATTTAACAGACAGATGGTCTCATTGACAGGTCTGTGTATATCAGGTATAGATAGGTTGTCTCAAGTTAGGTTTACCATCTATAGTTGGTGTGTAAGACAGATTTTCTTCTTCTAACTCTTGAACCATTTAACAGATGCTGAAATAAACATCACATACAGACACCATTCATTACACTGTAATTAAGTCACTTTGATCTTCAGCAAAAGGTCGCCATTTCTAAGCAAATATTTTGCATGTATTTCATACAATGCTTTGAAGAAAAATTGACCTAATTCTTGAGGCAAGTCACCTGACTTCAGGTTAAGGTCAGATTCTAAAAATTCTACTGTTACAGATATATATATATTGTTGTACTATTATGAAGCAGAGTTGATCAAAATGAAATAAGGTTATGGTCAAAGTTCAAGTTTAAATGCAAAGGTCAAATAGTGAAATATGGAAGGCAAGGAGTAAATATCTGCACTGGTAAATATTTGTAGATAGCAGAAATATGTTTCTGGCATGGAACGAGAAACAACTTTCTTGTTTTGACTAAATATGTTGTGTTTTTTCAGCTCCTGTATTATCGATGGAACCCAGGAATTAAGTACCAGTTCACTATTCCCTCTCATTTAATGGACAAGTACCTTGCAGCCATTAACAATAAGGGTACCAATCGTAGAAAACAACACAGTGGTCACCATAGAAACCAAAGTAACCATGGCAACCAGAGAAACATTAGGGTCCTGGAGAATCCTGTTTACCGAGCAAACCATGACACTTCTGGAAATCAGAATCTTGCCTTGGAAACAAGCAATGGCCGGGCCAAAGGGACCAACCCTAGAAGTGACAATAATCCAGTGCAGACCAGAGATAGGTCTTACCAGTTCAATCAATATGGTCCAGATTACCATAGGACTCCAGTAACTAGTGGTCAGTTTGACCCCTTTGACCCTGCTTATCGACAGCAGTTGTCACAGACAGTGGGTCAACAATCAGGCAACTACCAACCAAGAAATGGTTGGGCCTATGTTGGTGACACTATCAGTAATGAGGTTGTTCCCAAACTTTCTGCCCAGAATATTCCTGACAGTGTGAACTACTACTGGAGGATAGCTGGCTTCACTAACTGTACCGAACCCTGTGGCAAAGGTAAGTAGACAGTTACAGTACAGCTTCACTAACTGTACTGAACCCTGTGGCAAAGGTAAGTAGACATTTTGAGTTCAGTTTCACTTACTCTACTCAACCCTGATGTGTTAGCTTAACATTTTAAGATCAATTTCTTTACTCCCAGAGATCAATTTTGATAGAATATTTAAGTGCACATATTTTGCAGGTAGAAGTTTTTTTTTACCATTTTTAGCCATCAAAGGGACATGCACACTTAACGTAGGTGCACACATTACGCTGGTTATCACAGTATTACTGTGATAACTCAAGGTTTTTCCACGGTCCTGCCAATTTTGAGATAATGAGGTTCTACTGTATTTAATGTCATCAGAAAAGATAAGATGAACTCTCCTTTCCTGTGCTGTCAAGCCAATATTCTTCCTGTTGTGGCCCTTGTCCAAGCCCCCTTTGACATTTGTGATATCCTTTACAATGAGTGTTCAGGATGTCAGTGTAGGAAACATAAACAATAACAATACATTAACTCAGTCATCATTCTGTATCTAACAGAGCTTCAAATCTGTGACGACAGGTCCTCATCATCAGTCACAATTCAAACTGCCTCCAGTTTATATATGAAGTGAGGAGGGGCAAGCTTCTGTCTAACCATGACCACCAACAAATATCACCACGGTGATGTGTCATGTTTCCAGAGAAACATGTGACAGGCTTGGTCACCTTAAGGTCAGACTTTCACTGGAACATGTGTTACTGCTATGACCTGAGTTGTGAGGGTTGTCACCTTTAGGGTGTATTTTTCTAAATTTACATGAACACAATAGACTTGGTGGTGAATATTTACGATTGCCATTATATGTTAAGTAGGAGGCAGACTTGTATAGTGATTTGTTAAACCATTATCAGTGTCATTTTGTGTTAATCACCCATGGTGGTCCAGGAACAGTATACATACGTGGACAGGAAATATGTCTACTGATTTGGATCCGTTAACTATATAGTCAAATCTAGACTTCTAAACTTTAAATCTTGACAAACTTTATTGAAGTCAATCTGTCTATATGATACTGAGGTGCCTATATACATTGTATCAAATCTTGTTTAGAAGCTCTTTAGAATGTCTTGTAATACAAACTTTTATCGTTAAACAGTATTTCTACAAAATCCTCATATTCGTTACACTTATCTGATGTATAATAACAACTATGGAGACCATGAGATGTGTATCCAGTTCAATTACTGGCATGATATTTGAGGACTTTTCATGGTAGGGGGAGGTAAAAAATATATTGCAAATAAAACATAATGCTTATTGTATTAAATCAACATCTCATATTACAGAGAAAGCCTTCAGTGATAAAGTGTAGTATCACAAACACAGACTAGTGATAAAGTGTAGTAGTATCACAAACACAGTCTAGTGATAAAGTGAAGTATCACAAACACAGTCTAGTGATAAAGTGAAGTATCACAAACACAGTCTAGTGATAAAGTGTAGTAGTATCACAAACACAGTCTAGTGATAAACTGTAGTAGTATCACAAACACAGTCTCGTGATAAAGTGAAGTATCACAAACACAGTCTAGTGATAAAGTGTAGTAGTATCACAAACACAGTCTAGTGATAAAGTGAAGTATCACAAACACAGTCTAGTGATAAAGTGAAGTATCACAAACACAGTCTAGTGATAAAGTGAAGTATCACAAACACAGTCTAGTGATAAAGTGTAGTAGTATCACAAACACAGTCTAGTGATAAACTGTAGTAGTATCACAAACACAGTCTCGTGATAAAGTGAAGTATCACAAACACAGTCAAGTGATAAAGTGTAGTAGTATCACAAACACAGTCTAGTGATAAAGTGTAGTATCACAAACACAGTCTAGTGATAAAGTGAAGTATCACAAACACAGTCTAGTGATAAAGTGAAGTATCACAAACACAGTCTAGTGATAAAGTGTAGTAGTATCACAAACACAGTCTAGTGATAAACTGTAGTAGTATCACAAACACAGTCTCGTGATAAAGTGTAGTATCACAAACACAGTCTAGTGATAAAGTGTAGTAGTATCACAAACACAGTCTAGTGATCTTAGTATCACAAACAGTCTTCGTGATAAAGTGAAGTATCACAAACACAGTCTAGTGATAAAGTGTAGTAGTATCACAAACACAGTCTAGTGATAAAGTGTAGTAGTATCACAAACACAGTCTAGTGATAAAGTGTAGTATCACAAACACAGTCTAGTGATAAAGTGTAGTAGTATCACAAACACAGTCTAGTGATAAAGTGTAGTAGTATCACAAACACAGTCTAGTGATAAAGTGAAGTATCACAAACACAGTCAAGTGATAAAGTGTAGTAGTATCACAAACACAGTCTAGTGATAAAGTGAAGTATCACAAACACAGTCTAGTGATAAAGTGTAGTAGTATCACAAACACAGTCTAGTGATAAAGTGAAGTATCACAAACACAGTCAAGTGATAAAGTGTAGTAGTATGATAAAGTGTAGTAGTATCACAAACACAGTCTAGTGATAAAGTGAAGTATCACAAACACAGTTTAGTGATAAAGTGTAGTGACCTATCACAAACACAGTTAGTGATAAAGTGTAGTAGTATCACAAACACAGTCTAGTGATAAAGTGAAGTATCACAAACACAGTCAAGTGATAAAGTGAAGTAGTATCACAAACACAGTCTAGTGATAAAGTGAAGTATCACAAACACAGTCTAGTGATAAAGTGAAGTATCACAAACACAGTCTAGTGATAAAGTGTAGTAATATCACAAACACAGTCTAGTGATAAAGTGTAGTAGTATCACAAACACAGTCTAGTGATAAAGTGAAGTATCACAAACACAGTCTAGTGATAAAGTGTAGTAGTATCACAAACACAGTCTAGTGATAAAGTGTAGTAATATCACAAACACAGTCTAGTGATAAAGTGTAGTAGTATCACAAACACAGTCTCGTGATAAAGTGAAGTATCACAAACACAGTCTAGTGATAAAGTGTAGTAGTATCACAAACACAGTCTAGTGATAAAGTGAAGTATCACAAACACAGTCTAGTGATAAAGTGTAGTAGTATCACAAACACAGTCAAGTGATAAAGTGTAGTAGTATCACAAACACAGTCTAGTGATAAAGTGAAGTATCACAAACACAGTCTAGTGATAAAGTGTAGTAGTATCACAAACACAGTCTAGTGATAAAGTGTAGTAATATCACAAACACAGTCTAGTGATAAAGTGTAGTAGTATCACAAACACAGTCTCGTGATAAAGTGAAGTATCACAAACACAGTCTAGTGATAAAGTGTAGAAGTATCACAAACACAGTCTAGTGAATAAGTGAAGTATCAAGTGATAAAGTGTAGCAGTATCACAAACACAGTCTAGTGATAAAGTGAAGTATCACAAACACAGTCTAGTGATAAAGTGAAGTATCACAAACACAGTCTAGCAAAATTATGTGTATAGAAGTTCAAGTATTGATTGCGAATGAGTATAATGTATTGATAACAATAGGGAATGAAATATCAGCGGTGGATATAAAAAAACAATAGATTAAAGAAAACTTTTCTTAACAACACCATAGAAAGCATGTGGATTTAATCATTATGTTACTTTATTTATAAAATCTCAAATCCTACAAAAAACTCAGGCATGTCAGAAATTTGTCCAAAGGAATATTACAGATTTGTGACAACAATCCCATATCCTGGAGACATTGTTCACATGGAAAAGGGAAAAAATAGTTTTGTGACGTGCCAAACAAGCATTTGGATATGTCAGTGATTGGGTTTGAAATGTCTGTAGTTTCACTTAAGTTGATGTATCCACGACATGTTTAAAGCATATTTCACAGTTGTTCTCTATATATCAGCTATATTTGAACCAAACTGTAGATATCTGAAAAGCATTTTGTTGAAAGATGAAAAGAATTTTTTCCTATATATTGCCCAGTGCCTTATAATAAACCAGCCATTTGCCTTCATATTGAAAGGGGGCGGGAAATGTGCAAATGCAAGCTCATTTTTATCTGCTTAATTGTTTCAACATTATTTCATCTTTGTATAAAGCAGATTAAAACCTTTTTAGAAATGAAGAAAAAATACCGGAAATTCAAGCGATCTGCCAATGTGTTTCCTAGTCAGATGGAATTAACACCATTCCCCTAATTTACTAACAACCCTCTTGGATTTGCATTTTTTGTATATTTGTCTGGCAGTCACTGTAAGTTGAATCATACCAAACAGAAATAAATATATCTCCATGTTTTACTGCCAATAAGGATAATAACAAATTTCCTCCACCTTGAGGTATTGATAATAGATTTGAACAATGATTCCTAAACCGTTCAACTACAGCCTTCTGTGAGTTTACTGATACATCTTACTCGGCTATTTGTTCAGGACATTAGGACATGATAACTACAACATATGTAAAGCCCCCACCCCCCCACCCCCACCCCGTCCCCTCTTATGGAAGTAAAAAAAAAAAGCATATTTCGAAGTAGTATATTTCCTGATTTGAATTGCTGAAAATTTATTCATGAACAAGGAAATTTCACTTTGCTTAATGCCAAATCCAGAGTGTGAAGTTGAAAACTTTGATTTGTGCTAGGCCAACATACCGGTATATGTATAGCAATACGAGACGAGGCCACAGTAACATCCAGAAGTATAAAGAGAAATATCCTTGCTTAATCATCACCCATTGATCATTAAAGGTAAATTTGTTTCTGGTAAAGTGTAGTGTTATGATTTTATCAATGAAACTATGGAGTTCTGTGACCATAGGCAGATACAAAGACCATGTCTGTGTTTACATGGGAGAACTGAAATGTTGAAATTAAGTCGCCAACAAATGTCCAATGTAAGCATGGACAATGGAGTGGTTTTGGACACATTAGGCCAAAAATGTAAATTATACACTATAGTTAAATGAGGCACGCTTGTTTACCTGTGCGTTACCTGTACTTAGTTGTAATCAGTGGGGAGATACTGTCTG